CCCAGCTGTTTCAGATCGTCTTCCCTTTATCTCACATATGTCTACATCTATATCTATCTATAATCTATCTATCTATCTATCTGTCTGTCTATTTATGAGATGGGGTCTTGCTATGTTGCCCAGGCTGGTCTTGATCCCCTGGGCTCTAGGGATCTTCCTACTTCAGTTTCCCAAGCAGCCAAGACTGCAGGCACGTGCCACCACACGCGGTTCAATTTTTCCCTTTAAGTCACCAGTCCTGCTGCATCGGGTTCACCCTAAGGACCTCAGCTTAACTAATGCCATCTGCAGCCATCCTGTCTCCAAATGACATCACACTCTGAGAGGCTGGAGGTCAGAACTTTGCATAGGAATTTGGGTGGGTGCATAACCCACCCACAGCAACTGGTTGTTGCAGAAGTTTTGTGATTCTGGTTTACGGGACTTCTATTGGGATGATCACAGATGAAAAAGATACTGCTGCAGACTACTGTCCGACTGAAGGGGGCGCCTTTCCACTGTTTGACGCACTGATTCTGGTTTCACAGGTCACCAGTGCCCTGCAGCCACTGGATCCTGCTGTCTACTACCTGAACTCAGCTGGTGGAGACACGTTCACCACGGTATCATGGCTGCTGCTGGGGCTGCGGTGGCTGTTGCCTGTGGCCAGCGTTTCTGCCATGCTGGACGACATGGTCAAGCGGGTGTACGAAGTGGTCAGCATTGAGGTGCAAGGTTGGTCCCCTCTGTGGGAAGCTGCTGAGGGGGCCTGATAGCCCAGATGCAAAGTGTTCTCTGAGGCCAGACCCAGTCCAGTGACGTTAGGGGTCACTGGATCAAGTGTGTCCATCCTGCAGGGGATGGGGTGGCTTGGCCCATCTTGAGCTCCTTCTGGCTCAAATCAAGTGTAAACTCAAGTTTCCAAGCACAGATTTTGAGAACTGGTTTTGCTCCAATAGCACTTTCCCTCTCTTATCCCCCTCCACACCTTTCCCTCCTCCTTCGAAAGGGTTGTCCTTCTGTCTACGGTGGCACTGCACTGCAAACCCCCAGAGAACACACGAGAAACTGGCTTCTGCAGTTCCCTGTGCTCCTAAATTTCCCTCTTCCTTCCCACCCTTGCCCCAACACAGCCTTGCCCCAAGGAGGCTCATTCTGCAGAATTGTGCACCGTTGAATTTGTGCTCGCTAAAGCACGTGGATGGGGCCTTGTTCCTGGAAGAAATCCCCTGGTTTTTGTTTTGTTTTGTTTTGTTTATTGATCTGTGACAGGGGTTGGCAGACTTTTTCTGAAAACACAACATAGTCAATTTTTGGCTTTGTGGGCCACATGGTCTTTGTCTTAGCTACTCAGCTCTGCCGCTGTAGCATGAAGCAGCCACGTGGCATGTGAGCGAATGACTGCAGCCAATGGCACCCTTCATCCCAAAGCTCAAGGCAGGAGGGCTTGCTGTCCCTGGGCAGGGCTGCTCTTGTTCATTAAGCTTCTTTTAGGATGCTGAAGCTCACACGTGGCAATGCTTAGGTTTGGAGCCCAGGGAAAGCTCCAGGGATTTCACTTACCTTCCTTCAAAATTCACAGATGGTTGTGAAAACCAAGCTGGGTCATGGCAGCACCAGCAATCAAGGTTCATCTTGTTTGTTCTGCAGGATTCTTCAGCTAGTGGTCACAGGCATACAACCTGGAGGCCACAAGTGGTTTTGTTACTCAAGGTGGTGAACCCATTACAGGATGTGGGTTTTGATTGGGTAGTTTGGGGAGGTTTAAAGAAGTTATTGGTTGTTGTCATAACATTGGGGCAGTTCTGTGATTGTCTTGATAAATCTTATCTGTAGAAAGGAGATTACCTCTGTAAAGAGCTAATAATTTTGGCTAAGAGAAGGGGGTTGGTTCTTTGTGGGTGACATAGGAGTTTATCCTGGTGTGTGCTCAGGAATAGTTAGACGTGGCCTAGCTTTTCCTCACTTTCTCTTGGGCACAGACTGGCCTTGTTGGAGGTCAGTGTTCTGTGGGATGGTTTCTGCTGGAGTGTCCAGCTGGCTGGGAATGTCAGGTGGCTTCTCCAGCTTCTTTGTTACCTCAGGGAACTGCCCTGTTTGCTTGGTTTATCCCTGGGCCTATCATTTTGTGACCACTCAGATTCAATCCAGTTCCAACTTGACTTAGGACCCCACATGAGCTCGGGCGGTAGACCTGAGTGCAGTGAGGAGTGGTCTGATGGACTCTCACTGGTCTCCTTTTCATAGATGTGGATGAATGTTTGCACGATGAACTCCACACCTGCTCTGGAGGGGCGCTGTGTCGAAACGTGGAGGGCTCCTACCAGTGTGTCTATCCCCAGGAGTCTCCAGCCTCACATCCCCAGGAGCTGAACCACACAGGCGAAGGTAACTCTGGGGTTCCCCTGATGGTACAGGAATGACAGAGGGGACTTTCCAATGCTACATGGCTTGCCACTCACACACTCCTATCTTTCCACGAGGGCCCTTGGTACCTGGGCACAGAGTGGTCCTTGGTTTTTTCAGCTGTCCCTGGTCTCCTGGTCATCCTCTCTTGCTTTCATACTTTGAAGTAGCCAAAGTTTGTTCATTGCATCCACCGTACCAGATGCTGGCTGTAGGAATGTCATGAATAGGAGCTCCCTGGAGAGCGGCACACATGGTGTCTAATAGATGGCTGTTAGTTTTGAGGTGCTGAAGAGAGGAAGAGATGTAATTAACATTTACACTGTGATGAGCTGGGATTGTCCCAGGTTTGTATGGGCGACCTAAAGGCAAAGAACATGTTGGGTGCCAGCAAAGATCCTGAGTAAGGAAAGCCTGACTCTCTTGTGGTTCCTGGTGCTGGGTGTGTGTGATTGGTTCCTGCCATCCAGGAGCTTTTTAGTAAGAAATAACTATCTAGTGGTTCCCCCCTTATCCCTGGTTTCACTTTCAGAGGTTTCAGTTACCCATAATCAACTGTGGTCAGAAAATATTAAATGGAAAATTCCAGAAATAAATGATCCCTAAGTTTTAAGTTACCAGCTGTTCTTAGTAGTGTGATGAAATCTCACACCATCCCACTTAGGATGTGAATCACCTCCTCGTCCTCTGTGTCCATGCTGTATACACTACCTTCCTGTTGTCACTTACTGACCAGCTCAGTTATCAGATGGACTGTTGAGGTAATGCAGTGCTTGTGTGCTAAAGCTGTGTCACAAAGCGTCTGTCACTCATCTCACTGCACCGTATCCTATGGCATTGTGCCATCAGAAGAAGGGTGAGTACAGCACAGATACCACATCCTACAGCTTTTATCACAGAAGAAGATCGGTATAATTGTTCTATTTCAGTATTAGATTTTGCTCTTCATCTCTCACGATGTCTAATTTGTGCATTAACCTTTATCACAGTGTGTACGCATGGGAAAAGACATAGTATATAGCTTGGGGCTGCCTGTGCTTTCAAGTATCCACTGGGAGTGTGGGTGCATCTTCCCCACTACAGTTTGAGGTTTAGGAAAGTGTTGGGAAGACCATGAGTGTAGAGCCTCAGGCGGAGTGGTGAAGTGAGGCAGATTCCTGCCCACATTAGACGCCGCACCTCAAGACTCACCAGTGAAACCCATACAGGAGACGAAGAGGGACTGAGGTGGAAACAGATGGGTTCACCGGAGGAGCAGGAAGAGGAGCTTGTCCTTGTTACTGGACAGTCACTGGGAACCCGAGATGAAGTGGGACTGAGAGGGAATGCCAGGGTGCATCTGACTGAGTTGGATGTTTGATGGTGGGTTGCATGTGTCAATCTGGGGCCATCATCATCCAGGTGGCATTAATGGTGGGCATAGTGGCGAGAGGGAAGGGACCATAAGCCTGTGGCTGGGGAACCCCAATAGTTAATTCCAAGATGAGAAGCTTGGTAGGGCATGAATGGGGCCTGGAATAGCAGCCGGAACTAAGAGAAGGGGCTCAGGAGGTCTGAGCCCTCAAGCCAAGTGGAAAACTTGGGGGAGCAAGTGCCAGCAAAGGGAGTACAGAGAAGTGAAATGGAGCTCTCGGGGTCAGCAGCACCCTTGGGGAGGCTGGTGGGGAGAAGTCCTTTGCGTGACTGGAGGAAATGTAGGAAAAGGGAGCAGAGATAACTCTAACAGGAAGCAGTGGCTGCACTGGAGGAGGTGGCACCTGGCAGTCTGTTAAAGTCAGGACAAGGGGACCCTGGGGCAAATTTGCATGCAGACAGGAGGGATCCAGCTAACCCTGCAGCTCCTAAGCCCTGGCTTGAGCTCCAGAAAAGAGATGGCTGTCTTCGACCTTCTCTCCCTTCCCAATGGGCTTCTCTAGTCGATGGGGAGTCACCCACTAGAATCCTTGCACTGAATCCTTGCATGAGTGACCTATGACGGCACCTGTGGCCAGCTTATATGGCTCAGGGCCATCTGAAGCAGGCAAGGCTGCAGGTACAGCTGGGAGCTAGGGACTGCCTGGCCACTGGGGTATGAGCAGGAATGAGCAAACAGAAACTTCTGCTCCTTCCATCCCTGTGGATGGGCTGTTAACCTTCCAGAAGGTGAAGAGGGCCAAGTCAGCACCCACTCACTCACTCAAACACTTAGCACTTTTGAGTGAGTACCTACTATGTGCCAGGGAATGTCTCCACTGGGACTCTTGAGTGACCCAGGGCCCTCCTGCTAAGGAATTCATGCTTCCAAGACAGACAATGATGAAGACATGAACAAAAGTGAAATGCAGAGGTGGCAATGAGGCGAGGAAGCAAAACAATGTAGTAGAGGATGGGCATGCTGTCAGGCCAGCAGCCAGGGTGACCTGTACTTGGGACCCAAGTGGAGTGAGGGAGTGAGCTGTGAGGCTGTTAGGGGTGGGAGTGGGGACAAGCAGTCAAGGGAGAAGCAAGAGTGTGCTGGGCTGAATGATCACCCTAAAGGTGTCCACGTCCTGCTGCAGAACCTGAGAAAGTGTCGCCTCACATGACATCAGGGACTCACAGATGGAACTGAACTGAAGGCCTTAGATGATCCGAGAGACTGATGTCATCACAAAGGTCCTTAGAGGAGGGAGGCAGAGGCTCAGGATAGAGAGATGGGAGGAGCAGATCAGAGGTCTGAGGGGAAAGATGGACCCTGAGAGGCAGGATGCAGGGCCCTAGCAGGAGCCAGTGGTGGCACAGTGGGTGTGGTGGGTAGGTACATGAGTTAGGTAGATAAGTGGCCTCCCCAGGGTCGGCCATGACAGAATACCCATGAGAGCAGGGGAAATGGTTCTTTCCTTCCTGGAGCCTCTAGACAGAATGTAGCCTGCTCAACTTTGACAGCCATGACATCCAGAACTGGCAGACGATGTGTGCATCGTCTTAAGAAGTTCTGGTGATCTGTTAGAGCAGTCACCAATGCAAGGATTCAGGCATTCTGAAGATGCAAGGCCTCAGAAGTGGGGTTTGTGTGACCAGGACCAGGAGGTCAACAGGGCTGGAGCCCCCAGGAAAGAGGTGGAGGGAGTGTGCAGGCCATGGGAGCCCCAAGAGCACAGGAACCTACAGGAGGCTGATACATGACAGCTGTTACCTCTCAGATGGTCTCGCTTCATCTCAAGGCCTGCCCCCCTCCCCTCTCCTCCATTCCCTCCCTCTCTTTCTTCCCCTCTTCCCTCCCTTCTCTCCCCTCCCCTCCTGCCTAACACTCCATTGTGAAATCCCTCCGTCATTTCATTCCACTCTCACTATTTCTGAGTGTGCCTCTAAGAGATGAGACACTAAAAATCAAAACACATAGCACTTTTCTCACCCCTTAAGTAACCAAAGCAAGGATTCCTTAATATCATCAGATATCCAGTCTGTTAAAATGTCAAATGCCTCATCATTGGCACAATACTTAAAGTTTGTTAGAACTGAAATTTAAATGTGGTCCAATTAGTTACGACAGCCCTTCAGTTGCCTACTTTGTGTTCTGGAGGCTTCTCCTCTCTTTCGGCCCTGTGGCCTGGGCGAGCTCCTGTGAGGTTGGATTTGTGGCTGCATCTTCAGGGCGTCCTTTGGATGTCCTGTAATGTGTGATCAGCTCTGGAGCAGGGAGCCCCTCTTTTGTTGTTCCTGGACCCCTCAGTACCTGGTAAAGTCATAGAACCCTTCACACATGGTTCCAAATGCTGAAATACATAGACGACAGAGCCAACCACAATGTGTCAGAATCTCACAACCTGAAGTCAACACAACACTCTGCAGCCTCACTGTCCTCCCATCCCCTGCAAAGAGCTGCCAGCTGCCTTTTGCCCATTGATGAACTTGGCACTCTGTCTCTTCCCTGAGGATTTGGGAGCTGAATTCTGGGCACCCCTGGTCCCCCGCCCTTCAGTAAGGTGCCCTATATCCTCCTTCAGTTTCCCTGAGAAATCAGGCTTCAGTGGTCCATCCATAGTGGCCCAAGGTGGACAGTCTTAGCAGCAGCCTTTCTCTACTTGTATCACCTCCTCTCTCCCCAAACCTCTCAAACCCAGGCCAGCACTGGAATTCCCATCCGAGATTATACTCTGACGGTGGGTGAGGAGCAGACCAGGATTTAGGACAGAGACCCCCAACTCCACCATCTTCCTTCTCAGCAACAGAACGCCCATTGAGTTTTGTGTGCATGTGCTCAGTCAAAACCATCACCCTTCCCTACAGACTGGGATCCTGTCCCTAAGCCCCAGCCATGGGGAGATGATAGAGCATTTCACGGAGTCTGCTTTAGGGTGACGACCCTGTGATCACATGCTGGGCGTTGCCGAGGCCCCGCTGCCCGTCTCAACCATGTGATTTTGAGATTGGGAGGAAGCAGAGATACAGCGAAGGGGCCTGGTTCAGAGAAAGGAGCCAGGGCCATGTGCCATGGATGATCTCTACACAAGGGCCACACCAAGTGGGCTTAGCGCCTGCTCTTTGGGGTTTCCTATTACATGTAGCAGCAATCCCAATTGACATGAGGCAGGTGGGAAGCTGGGAGATGCAGTGGGGGCTGGGGGTGGCACAGTGGGCATGGTGAAGAGGTGCAGACAAGAGTCCTTACAGGTGTGGCCAGCAAGGGTGCAGGTAACCCCTGAGGGACTGCACTCTGGTGCAAACTGTAGGTGGGTTGGCAGACAAAGAGCTGCAGGACTGGACCAGACACAGAGCTCACGGTTTCCCTGACAACCAGCAAGCAATGGAGCGGCCTCTCCAGGTTGCCATCTGATACGGGGATAGGACTTTGATGGACTAGCACCTCCTCTCTGGTATTTTAGCCTAGAGGGTAGATACAGCTTTTTATATTTAGCCCCTGCGTTGGTCATTCCAGAGTTTAATTTATCACTTAACGACATTCTGACTATAGTGAAATGTAAGTCCCCCTGGTCTTTGTGCACCAGCAAGCTGCTTTTATT